GGCCCCCTTGGCCGCTCCTCCCGGCCCTTGGGACTCGCCAGGGCTGTCCTCCCAACCCCTGCCCGCAGCTCCTCTAGGTCCCGGCCCCTCCTCCGGGGCCCTCCTCCTCCCTCGCCCCTCCCGCGCCAGGGTGGGAGCGGCGGCAGCTGGAAGAGAAGGGATGAGGTCATCCTCTCCCTCGGAGTCAGCTGGTGGAGGAGAGGAAGCGGGAGGAGGGAGCGCGCGCGAGGGGAGGAGAGGAATGTGCAGGTTCGAGGAGCGCCGCGGCGGCCGCTGCTGCTCCTGCTGCTGGCGGCGGCGGCGGCTCGGGCGGCAGCCGCGAAGCCGGGACGGCGAGGAGCGCCCAATGACCGCCCAGCGCCGGGCGCGGCGGCGTCGTGGAAGGACAAGCCCTCGCCTTCTCCGCGCAGACCCACGGCGACCACCGTCTTGCAATCCGCCTGCAGGTTCGGACAGCTAGGCAGCAGCGGAGCTGTGGCCTGTCCTCGGTGCGAAATCGTGCACAACCACGGAAGCAAAACTTGCCACCGACAGCGAGGCCGAGACCCAACGAGAAAGCGTAGCCCCGAACCACCAGCGCTGGCCGCGCAGGTATATCCCACCGGCGAGCCAGACGTCCTACCCACGTCCGCGAAAGTACAGCGCACGGCGGGCCAGGATCCAGAGGCAGTCCCACAGTTATAGCGCTCCTGCCCAGGCGCAGGCACAGCGCCGCCGACCCAGCCCCTGCTGCCGGGCGGCGCGCCGCGAGCCGCCCGAGCCGAGCCCCTCGCCGGGCCGCAGCAGCAGCAGCGCGAGCAGCCGCCCGCCGTCCGGCAGCACCGCCTCCGCCGCCTTCCTCGTCCCGGCTCCGACCCCGCACGCAAGGGAGCATCTGCACCGACCCGATGTCAGTTCTGCAGCCGGGGTGAACAGCCACGATCGCTGCTCTTCTTGCATTTCAGCCCTCCGTCTGATTTAGCGGCCATAGCCTCCACAGCGGAATAGCCCTCCTTATCTGAAACACCTTCCCCGCTGCGCCTCCCTCCCGCCACCTCCTCGCCTGCCGCTCCTCCAGGCGGCGCGCCCCCCCTCCTCCCTGCCCTGCGCCGCTCGCCGCGCCCCGGCCGCCGGCCCGCCGCCCGCCGGGCTGGGGCGCTGGCCGGGCTAGCCGGCGGCGCCTTGGGTGGTCCGCAGGAGGCGCCGCCGGCTGCTGGAGGCGGCAGCCAAGCGCTCGCGCGCCCCGCTCGCGCACGCCCGCGCCGCGTCGCCC